TTTGTGAGCAAGATTGAAGAGTGAAGAGATGGACAGAAGAGAAACATTCAGCTTTCCCATTTTATCCCTATATTTTTATTTTTTGGTCTATGATATCCCATATAAGTGAGATAGAATTAGTGAATAAATGTTGGATTAATAAAAGGAGCATTTGAAGGAAGAGAATTCGAGACTAAATGTGTATTTACAGCTTGTTTGGGAGAGATTAAAATTAAAAAACTAGCCGTTATTGTTGACTTTTATTAGACGGATGAGACCCAATAACAGCTATATTTACAATTTTAATTGGATTAAAATCTCTCCCAAACAAGCTCTTAATATTTTTTCTTTGTCATTTTATTTTTTTCATAATAATAATTATTTGATTGATTTTTTTTTTTTCCTTTTGGATAGGTGTATTGTTTATGGGTGAGAATTCATGATTAAGTGTTGTCTATGTAGAAAGAGCAAAGGAAGAAAGAATAGAATTCGAGACTAAGTATTATATAAATATGAGTAACAATTTATTTATGCATTTGCTTTAGAATGAACATTTTGTAGTATGAACGTTTTGAATTTACTGTGCTAAGTTATTTTTTTGACAATTAGCAAATGTAAGTCCCGTCTGGTTGCGTTTCAATTTTCAGTTTTGAGTTTCAAATTCATTTTCTACCTTTTGTTTTGTAGAAAATGTGTTCGATATATTATTTCTCAAAATAAATAAATAAATAAATAAAACGTTTGGTTTGAAATTTCTAGAAATTATTTTATGATTTTTATTCAATAAATTTGATTACGTAGTAAAATAGAAAAAAAATGCTAATATATTATAAAGGTATGTACACATTTTGAAGTGTTTGATTTGCCATTGGTGGGAGAAATTAGATTACTTTTATTTCTCATATTCATTGAAACCACCGAAAATGCCAAAAAATTATTTTGAGTTTAATGTTATAGATTTAATTTTATATTCAAAATGTATTTTAAAAAATATTAAACCAAACAAGCTTTGGTTTTTTCACAAAATTGAAAATAATTTGAAAACATCAAATCAAATACCCATTTCTAAGAGACACTTAAAATCTATATAAATGACCCTTGTTCCATGAATCGTACACCAAATTATTGATAAGTGTATTTTATACACTTATTTGGACCTAATAGTATATATATTTAATAGTTCTTTTGAATAATTATTGTTTAATTTATTGTATATTTTGTTTAGTAGATGAAATTTGATCAATGAAAGTGGAATTGAAAGAAGTAAAAATTGACGAAAATAGAGAAGATCCAAAGTTAGGGACTAAAGTAAATACTCAAAGTTGTGCCAAATCTCACAATGAAGATTCGAGAATGTTAGAGGACAATTGGATGCAATTAGAAGTCAACAAATGAGTGAAATATTACCAAAATATTTTCATAAATCAATTTTCAATCGAACAATTATGTTCCAGATTTCACTACAAAAAAACTACGATTTCGTGACAATAAAATGTTATCGCAAAAATTAAGATTTTGTTGCAAAAGTAATTTGGCGACAATAAGATGTTTGTTGCAAACATTGTCGCGCTATATGAGTCACATAATATATTCTACGACAACATTCAATCATTCATCGCATAAACAAACTCGCAACATTATTTGTTTGACG